CCCTTGGCCATTTAACTCTAGTTTTCTGCTCCATATTTCTCTCTCTGACTGGCCTATTCACCTCAGTCTCAGCTGCATCCCCTCTTGTAGTCTCCTCTTCCCCCTCTGTAGCTGTGTTATTGATATCCTTCGAACTGTAGTTTTCTACCTGTCGCTGGACTTCATCCAACTTATTCGATTGACTTCTTAAAAAGTATCGATCGATGTGGCCACACTGCCTTTCCTTTGCAACACATCTCTTTTTTCCCTGATGCATTCTAAGGCCTCTAACTGATGTTACTTTCTGCCAGGCACAAGGACAAATCTGGAGCTTATTTCCCTCTAGCCTAACATTTTTATTCTCTCCAGCTACGCTCACATCACCCTGAGAACTATTCTGCCCAGTTCTAGTCCTAGAGAATAGGTCCGTACCCCTATCCTTCACTGAGTCGCATATCCAACTAATAGTCATGTCCGTTCCAGTGTCCGTTGCCGTATAGTCTGCCTGTGAGTCATCTTCCACCCCTGCTTTCGCTGACCCTTGGGGTATTTTCCTTATGTTAGATGTAGCTTATGCTGGTTGTGACAAAGATGCTAGGCCTTGCCACTGCTACCATGGATTGCTAGCCCATGGCAGCACCCTTGGGGTCTTTGCCTCCTGTCAGCTGTCTATCCAGGCTGTCACATGGTCTTTCCCTTGTTGTCAGCTGCCCTATTCACAGCAGTCACTAGCTAGGCTAGCTTTGAATTTAAGGTAAACACAAGAAACTTGTGCTACAGAAAATGGACCAGACTCAGTGAATAGCTCCCTAAGCTTAACATCCTAAGTCCTATGATAAGTATTAATTTAGCTATACAGACTAATGAGCAGTGATAACTAACATGTCTTTGGGGTCATCAGGTACATTCAAGGTTAGAATGAGAAGGTTAGCTGCATGCAGGCCCTAAAACTGAGTTATGCTACAGGTATGTGTGTTAACATACACAACAGTAGTGTCGGCATTGACTCAGAATTTGGGTTGCTGCCGCTGCCAAACCCAGTGAGTCTATCTGACAGCAAGAGTACAAGGTACTCTGAGCTTACTTACTGTCAGTACTCTGAGAAGCAAACTCTGGAGCTCTCATTCTTTAAATTTTTCCTGACTTCTGGCATAAGGCTGTAACACTCTAAGTAGCCAGACATGCATTCAGTGGCACTGTCACTGTATGAGTTGACATGGTCAGAGATGACGTGGTCATTGTCTGATCCATGCTCCCAGTCCAGAATTTCTGTGTAAGGCCTTCTCCTGCTCCTATTGTGGGAGTGCCTATCTCTACGCAGCTGATGGACATGGCGGTTACGCTCAGTGTCCCTATGTGGCCTTTTGTCACCCCTCTTTGAGCTGTTCTGAGGGTGATCTCTTAAGGTGACAGGTCTGTGTGACGCCAAGGTGTTTGAGCTGGCAGGCTCAGTTGTTTTCCCCCTTTCGTTGTGTCACCGACTGGCTCTTGGCCGGCAACAAAAAGGGAGGCCAAACACAGACACTTTGATCAAGAAACTATTTATTTATCTCATGAATAAACAAAGTAACCAACCAAATGGTGTGTGTAAGTAAGAAAGTCATCAGTCATGTCAGCAGTGTGTGGATGGGTGAAAATATGGTGTAGTGTATGTTGTAAGATGCAACAAACCAAACAAAGAGAGACAGACTGTAGTGGCTGCAGCAGGCCCACCTTTATTTGGGAGGCCCTACCCAAATGGGCCGGTATTAACTAACCACCCTCCAAGCTCTTCTTTCAGTCCTTGATGGATCCCTTTGTACGCATTTCTGACTCACTTGTGGACAGCTTTAGAGCTGGTATTCCACAAAACTTTAACTTTCTCCCTTTGGGTTGCATGGGGCAAGTCAATTAGGTTGTGATCTCGTTCCCTAAAATAATCATCAGTGTGACGATCCAAGTTGTCTGGGTCAAATTTTTCAGTGTCCTTAGCTATGAACTCAAGCACTTTAAGACGGGGGCACTACTCCACCCTTCTGGTGAAGGCAGGACTAAGCTAGCTGAACAAGAGGCAGGAGCTGAGCAGCTGTCATGACTTTCATGGAAGCGTAGAGAGGAGGCTGAACAGTCTTATAAAGTTTTGGTCCTCCTGTTGGAAGGATGAGCACAGGTGGAAGTATCATGCATCAGTGGCTGATGGGAACATGAATATCCTCTACAGGATAGACTACCTGTCTCTTCAGTGTCAATTTCAGGAAGATGGGAAATCAGGTGGCTGTTACCTCTGTCTGTCAGTGAAGTTTGAGGAGCTGACTTCATTCCCATCTTCTTAAGGATCTTAGGGTCAGTTGGGAATTGGTCCCATCTTCTGAGTGGAGGTGGGGTCAACCTGTTACGGCGGTAACTCGGAACCAGGACCCAGATGCAGAGACGTTCAAAAAGAAGAATTTATTTAACAAAAAACACACAACAAAAAACACCCTTGCGGGGAATAAACGGGGAAAACCAAATAAACTACAAAAACACTAAAATCCACGACGGCAAAAGTATCAACAGAAAATCACCCAAAAGGGGGGAAAAACTAGACTTACAAAATTGCTAGAAAATAAAGAGCCAGGACTGCAAAACCTCACTGGAAGCTCTGTTAGCAAAAGGCTGCAATAGAAAAACACTAAGATACACGAGAGTGGGGAAGATCTACTGGGAAGCGATTTCACGAGGAGCTTGGGCGGGAATGCAATAGTTCCGCACAGGAGCCAGAGCGTGAGGGGTTTAAATAGGGACTTAATTGCAGATGGAAGGCAGGTGTGCCTCATGAGCCTCGCTCCCGAGTCGATCGGCCCCGCCTCTCTGCATCGACCTGCTGAGAGGGAGCGGGATTACACCAAAATCAAAAATCACAAAATCAAAACCATAACACAACCTGTCATTAAGGAAGAGTGTGAATCAGAGTAACCAGAATCACATGCACTGATCTACTGTGATGGAGCAAGCCATTTTGATTTAATCCTTAACAATTCCTCCTTGTGTGAGCAGAGGTCTAGCTCTGCTGAGTGCAGGTCTCCTAAATAGCACATGGCTTTCTTGTTAGCTACCTGAACTTCATGGAGGAGAAGAGCATTTTGAGCTCTAAGCAATTGTACCTCCTCCTCTAGGGCTACTTGGCTCTGAAGGGCAAGGCTGGTTTGCCTGAGGGAGTTCAACAACAAACATCTTAACAATGGGCCTTTAGATGCAGTCCGAGCATCACATCTGTCACTGAAGACTGAAGTCTATTTCTTTACTGCACTCACTGGAATTTAACCAGCTGATGAATTCTGGGTAGCCAGGCTTCAGGCTTTGTGCTTGTGAAGAAATAAACTGCTCTACACAGGAGTTCTCCATTGCTGTGTCTGGAATAGAGGGAGGTTAAGTTGTCTAGAACAAGAAGACAATGTAGTTGGCTGTGGTGTTGTGCTGGCAGACACCATGTAGTGTAGCTTGGGAAGTACACTAGCCTAACTAAACAATGCAGTGGCGTACACTGGGTGGTAGCTACAAAGTCTACACCCTCATGAACTCTTTTTAAAATAATCTGTGATTTGAGACATTTCTGCAAAAAAAACATACAAGATGGGATGTAACATTAATTTAGGGAAACCTTTCAAGAAGCTAGGTGTGCTTGGATGTAAAAGAGATAATACTCGGGGCGTCGAGTAACTCAGTTGGATGAGCATCCGCCCCATGTGTAGAGGCTACAGTCCTCGCTGCAGATGGCCACGGTTCGAGTCCCACATCGGACAAGCCCTTAGCTGCATGTCAATCCCCCTCTCTCTGCCCCCTCATTTCCTGTCTCTCTCTACTGCACTGTCAATAAAGGCACAAAAAGCCCAAAAAAATATATTAAAAAAAAAAAAAAAAAAGAGATAATACTCATCTGTAGGGTTGCCACCTTTTTATGTAAAAAAAAAAAAAAAGTGGCAACTGGTTTGGTTTTAGTTGACATTACATTATTCACAGCACTTTGAGGACATAACATGAACGAAAATACAGGATGTATTGATTCAATACAGGACGCAGCATTTTATTTTCAAATACAGGACGATCCCATATTATATGGGACAGTTTGAACAGCCACAAAATCTGGTTGCTGCCTCCTTCCAGCGCGTTTGTATTTTTTCAGATGGGTCTGCCAGATGCACGGATTACTGATGCACAGCGGCAAACGTCAAATCCATCAAGTGGACTTTGAACCTTGACACAAAGTCCTGATAATGTTCACAACATGGAAGAATGGACACGAGGGACAGGAGAAGGTCATGTGACTAACAGAGTGTTCACATCCTGTCTAAACCAACAGTCTCTACTGTCCTGTAGTGATATTTATTTGTATGTGGGGACTCTGATGAAAGCTTAAAGAGAAGCTGATCTCAGGTACTAAACTGAGATTTTCCAGTGTATATCAGTGGAAGCTGTAAATCTAAACCATGATGCAGAATGTCTCTCTTTAGAAATCTTTGAAGTTACTGAAGCAGTGAACAAAAAGGAATCACTTCACATTCAATGGACGAAGACCAGGAGAGGGAAGAATCAAAGGCACATTTACACAAATACACGAGGATACGCACACACAGACACACACACACACACTTGTACTTCCATCTATGTGAGGACAATTGTTGACATAATGCATCCACCCCTCACCCTAAAACCCTAACATGAGAGGTCTCCAGTGAGTCAGGGCTGAAGTGATCGGATAAATGAAGCTTAAAGGAAATGTCCAGTGTGTTTGAACCTCACTGTAGATTTGGCAAACGAGGACTCATGTAAAACAATGTAGATCAGACTGAGATGGATGAGTCTCCTTCAGCTTCAGCAACTGATTTCAAACACTCATCTCTGAGTCTTCACAACATGTGGGTAACAAACAACTATTGGTTTGTTATTAATCAGTCTGATTTCCTTTACACAGTAAAAACAGTCTGTGTGTGAGTCGCTCCATGTGTTTAAATGTATGAGTAAGCTTCTCTTGATTATAGTTATTTTTTGTGGTGTGTGTGCAGGGCCTGCAGACAGGAACCAGGGAGCTACAGGAGATGGGGATGAAGTTCTGCCACAGTCTGCTGTCTGTGACCAAAGATATGAAGGCTCTTTACAGCAGGACGCTCATCAGCAACATTGACCTGGATCACAACAACATCCTGGACCACAAGTCTCACAAGTAAGATGCCATCCTGACGTGCAGTTTTGTCCAGATACCCTCACTGGTGCCAAAGCGATGAGAATCATCCTCCAGAGCTGTTGGTTTTACTTCAACAGTTGAAGGTTAAGGCTCAGTACAGAGTCAGGGTAACACATGACAGACAAGACCTGCTGGGAAACAAAGGAAATGTTCACATGTAGCACTGATAAATGTGAAATATTTTATTATGACCAATACATGTATAAAAATTGCACACCTTACTGAAACATCTCATGCTGTTACTATGGTAGAAGTTCAAATGGTATATAAACTTAAATATGTACTCAACTTAGAATCATTCATTTTCCACCACTTCCACCGCCTCTCCCAGAGAGCAGAGGACAGAGCAGTGCAGGCAATAATGACAAATAGAAAATAAATATGCGGCATGAAATAGTGACTGCCCGCATGGCAACTAATCATGGCAGCTCTAAACAGCCTATTATCAGGCAATTGTATTTTGTAGCGTTAATACCACAATTTGAAGTTAGCTCTCGTTAAAGAATGGGGCACCAGTCCTCAGGGAGGACAATTTGATTAAAATAAAGATTATTCTGATCAATCTCACATCCAAAGTGGTGATTTCTCGATTACAGGGATCTCCGATCTTCACTTCAAAGAAACACAGGGCAACGACTGGGTCACGTTGATAATATTTATTAACTAACTAAACACAGGAGTAATACAATGAACAATGATAATTGACATGAATCTATAACTAACAATACCTATATCTATCAGCTTAACTATCAGTAATTTGGGCGATGGTGAAAGAGAATGAATTTGATTATGTGTAAAGCATTTATTCGTAACGGTGGAATTTATTAGGTCGGAACTAGGATTATTCCGACATCAACCCAGTTCGGAGCAAAGGATGGAGTTGCCTACTTTGAGCTGCGGCGCGCTGTTGAGATCCTGGCTGGAGCCCCGGAGTTAGGTTGCTAGGCGACGGGGACGCCACGCTCCAAGTGGGTTTCTCTCAGAGATGACGGCCGTTGCCAAGGGGAACGGGCTCTGCCAATGTCTCGGTGGGTCAGCGTCGGCGCAGTCTGCCAGCAGACTTTCTTCCGTAGGCACTCTCGAGATCTGGTCAGCCGGTCCTGGTGAGGCGTGTAGCCGGAGGGCCGGAGGTTGACGACGGAATAAGCTCTAGTATTTAATTTACTTTGCCAGCTAAGTTGGAAGGAATTGGTGTTGGCCAAACGACACAAAACCTTCAAAATCTTCTAGACAAAAGTGAAGTTATCGAAAAAGAAAACGGCGAGATTGCTTATATACACCTGTGTGTGATTCAATTTATAAGGCTTGGCTTGCTGAAATAGTAAAACAAAAATCGCGCACAAAAGTATGAGAAAAATTTGAAGACAAAGAACACGAGGTTGGTACCAAAGCACAAAGTAAAGTTTAGGCTAGAAACACGTGAGCTAGTATGCAAGACAAAACGTAAGAGACTAAGAGTACAAGTAAGAGTACGAGTTGTACAAATAAGAGAGTGCGAATAAGAGTCTGTGGGGGAGAGTTGTGGTTGTCTCCCATTTGTTGCAGGAGTGTTGGTTCAGGATGAGTTCCATGAGCTAGCCATAAATTCTGATGGTATCTTTAAAAGCTAGTCTATTAGTGAGGGGAACTCATTTCGTCCCTGTGTTCTATCCAAGTGATAGTTTGATGATGGGAAAGTGGACATGGGAGGCTCTCCATATCCTCCAGAGCGCCCCAGTGTCTTTACCATAAATCTTGAACGTCCGGTCACTGGCGTCCACCAGTGTCCGCTACAATTTTATCGATTTAAAAAAAAATAAAAAAAAATAATACATCCTTTCTCTGCAGCCTGGAATATGCCACGGCCCGGAACTGGTCCATGGCCTTGTGGTTGGGGACTACTGAGGCAACACATTGAAGGGAGAGGAACAAAACAGGTTCACATGTGGACTCACTTCAGATATACAGAATATAGAGAGTGAGTGTGTTGTTGTCAGGAGAAAAAATCTGGAGCAACAAAACCACTGGGAAGATAAACACAACCTGTATGGGCTCATACAGCTGCGCACACTCTCTGCTGATGAGGAATGGTCGAGACAAGAGGCCGAGAAAAATACAATTTATGGACACTGGCACTGAAGTTCACTGAACTCACTGTCATGTTGATGAAAGCAGTTTGTCACATCGAGCATTATCCTGATGGAAGGAGCCATAAGAAGATGGTGAAGAGTGGCCATGAAGGGATGAACATGGTCAGCTGTGTTCACTGGAAATGTCAAGTTTAAACAAACTTTCCAAATACAGGCTGCAAATTATCCTCTAACCAATGATCCACAGTGTTTGCTGCATGATTTCCCCTCAGAAATGTAAAGCATATAACACATGAACAAATTACACTCGTTCATGTTCATATCATATCATATGGCCACTTGGGAGCAGAAACAAGTAGCAACCAGGTCACAGTCAGACTTAGAGCCTGACAAGATAGAATACTGCGGGCGGCTCTGCAGGTGCTGGGATGGCAGCTGGTGCCGCTCACTTTTGGCGTGGCTGCCGAAGCCCATTCTGGGGCCATGGCTGTCGGGTCTGTGGCCGATCGCAGGGATGTGGCACCCTGTAACAGTGGTTCACTTTCTGCAAAAGATGTCACGGAGCCTGTAAGGCAGGAGGAATCTGTGTTTTAAAGAAACCTGAGCATCTCTCAGAAGGCAAAAAGAAAACTGATGACATGTTTGAAAATATGATTTCTCATGACCGAAAGATGAAAAAAATTTACACAATCGGACCAACAAGTCAACATTTCAGTTTGGCTGGTTTATTCATGCACGAAGGACAGATCTAGTTTAGGGTACACCAAGTCTCTGTATTTGTATTGTATGTATTTCCCTGCATCATTCAAAACTGAATAACCTGCCAAAATTGTCTTATCATTTGGACACATTGATGACCCATCACAATACAAAACCATATCCTTCTATACCAATGGTGTTTGTTGCAAATTTGTTGTAGTGCTGGATGTTGAATTAATTAACTCCATACAATCCACACAATCTTCCTGTTTACCCTGAAGTAATGCCTTCAAGTGCACAACTGTACTTGTATGTGCTGCTGTTGAAATGGTGAGATTTTGTGTCCTTGTCAAAATATGTTCATAATTACAACATCTCTGACTAGTCATGTGTTGCGTTGTAATATTCAACAAAATAATATTTACTGCATGGGAAGTGTGAATAATCATGGGATGGCATGTTTGCGCCTTTTCTACCATTATTGCTGCTGCTGCCACTGCACGCAAACAAGAGACCATGCCTTTTACATTTAATGGCAGCGTTTTAGAATAATAAGCTACTGGTCTTGGTCTCCCCCCATGCATCTGCACCAACACAGCTACAGCCACATTTCCGTCCTCTGCCACATATAGATGCAAAGTCAACTTATAGTCTGGCAGGCCCAGAGCTGGAGCAGAACACAGCATATATTTCACGTGATGAAAAGCATGTCTCATTTCCTCAGTCCACTGAATAGTTGGAGGAGTCTCTTTCAGTGTAGCAGCACGTAACACAGCCTCATATGTAGAATATTCCAGTAACCATGCGCGGCAAAAGTTCACAAGTCCAAAGAAGGAAAGCATTTCCTTCTTTGTCTTAGGCCTCCGAATCTCCTTTATTGCATTGATTTGTTCAGGTGACAGATACCGACAACCATCTTTCAGAACATATCCCAGATAATGGACAGAGTCCTGACAAAACTGGAGCTTCGCAAGTGATGCTCTATGTCCACCTGTGGCCAGATGACTCAGCAAGGCAAGAGTCTTTGATGCAATTCTTTTGTGTTGGTGATGCAACCAAAATGTCATCCACATACTGTAGTAATGCAGATGAACCAGGCAAGACCAATTTTGACAACTGTGCTTGTACTGCAGCTGCGCAAATTGTTGGACTGGCAACATATCCCATGCTCAACCTTCTGAATCCCCATTGACAATTACAATATGTGAATGCAAATAAATCCTGTATCTATCAAAAAAGGAATAAGATTTCCTGCTACCTTTAAATTAAATTTTGGTAATTGTATAGGTGAATCAAAAAAATGCACTTGCATTGCATTAATTATGACTAACAACTATCTGTGTCCCTCTGTCGGTCTCCCTATGGGTTATATCCTGCATTCCACATGCAGGAAGCAGGTGTGTGTCCAGCCTGAACTGGGGCTTGGAATGGAGGGGGTGAAGTACTATAATCGTAAACTGGATTTTCTCTCTCTCCCTCTCGTCTTTCTATCTGTGGGGATCCTCTCTTCACAATCTTTAGACCAGCGACCAAACCTCCAACAATAATTACACATATCTGAGGAGTGTGTCTGTCTCCTCCAATATGGCCTATTACCATAAACACGTCCTCTTTGAATGGGATGTCCAAAACCAGGTCTATACTCTGACATATCCCATTGCTGTTGATCATATCCAAGACCGTGGCCTCTTATCACATTATCTTTTGCTGCAATCACATTCATCTGCTCCATTGTTGGATTACACTGAATGGTTTGCATTTGAGTTTTTAAATAGTCCAATTGCATCTAACTCTGTTTTCTTTAACTCTGCAGGGCTAAGTGAAAACACACCTGGAGCAGACAACTTTAAAGTGTATGCCTCTTGGGGTCCTAAACTATTATTCATCATTGAAACAAAGAATGGATCAGCTTTATCTGAAATGTCAAATTTAGCTTCCTCTTTCCAACATTTCTGAAACCTTTCTGCATATTCAGAAACCTGCTCATCAGACTGCTTTTTACAATTCATCACACATGTCACATCTTGACTCACTGTTGCATTTTCAATCAAAAAATTCTTCTAAATGAGTCTTCTGATGTGTCTTTGTTGACCATGGAAATTTCTCATCCAAAGTTGCTACTCTTACTATTAGACCATTACCAAAATCCAAAGATTCACATTTCTCGGTCAAAGTATCAATCATTATATTGGGCATTAGAGTTGCTAAAATGTATCGCACATCTTTGCCAGACTTAGACATAGTCCACCAATTCATAAATCCTGACGGATTAGTCAGTGGTTGTGGTGCATCCTGCGTGATGCATGAAATTTCAGCCAATGAGGTTTATCCATTACTTTATCATCAATCACCAAAAGTGAAGCAACCACTTCTTCTGTTTTCTGGATGTCCCTATCTTAATTATAATCAAACACAGCTTGAAGCTCTAGAGTTCTGCCACATCTCCACGTAAAATGTAACACAGAAAAGCTCCTGTTTGCTTTTTACTGAGTTCAATCCAAACAACAGGAATGCCTTCATTACTTTGATAGTGTTTAATTGCATTATCTAAATATTTCAATAACTTCTCCGCAAGATGGTTTACTGGTCTGTTGCCCCATGATCTACTTTGCATGCATATATCAAAATAAGCAAATTTACAGCAATATATACATTGGCCTATAAATGCACAAATTGAAGGTCCGTTGGACGGTCTGATAATTAGTTTGCTTTCATTGCATGTACACCCAAAGCATACGGTTGGTCCAGACTTACACTGTCCTGTGATATGACAATGCTCACTATGAGATGAAACGAGATTCTTACATTGTCTTTTCATAACTTTTGGGTCTCACAGTATTTTCACGATTCTTGAGGCACTATCATGCATTTCACACTTCTCTTTTAAACGTACCTTGGCTTGGTCTCACGTTCCCTATGCTGGCAAACGGATCTTGACATACACCGTTGTTTATATGTACAGTTATGTTCATAATAATAGCTGTGTGTTTAAAAAGGTGAGTAAACCTCAAAATTCTTCAAATAAATTGTATTTTAATGAACACAAATGCATTGGGGACACTGCACATTCTATTTCAAAGCAAGAAAATTGGAAAAAGTAATTGAATTTGATAATATTTTACAGAAAGTCAAGAAATATAATGTTCAAAAAAATAGCAGTGTTGACATCTTTCTTTACAAACTCAAAAATGTACTGTATAAACCAAGAAATGCTTGAAGATTCAACTTTCCTGAGAATCATAAACTAATATTTAGTTGCATAACCACGGTTTCTGATAACTGCTTCACATCTGTGGTATATGGAGTCGACCAACTTCTGGCACCGGTCAACAGGTATTGCAGCCCAGGACAATTGTACTATGTTCCACAATTCCTCTGCATTTCTTGGTTTTGCCTCATGAACAGCATTTTTTATGTCAGCCCACAAGTTTTCTATGGGATTAAGGTCCGGGGATTGTATTGGCCACTCCATTACTTGAATTCTGTTTGTCTGGAACCATGATTTTGCTCGCTTGCTGGTGTGTTTGGGGTCATTGTCTTTTTGAAACACCTATTTCAAGGACATTTCCTCTTCAGCATACGGCAACATGACTTCTTCCAGTATTCTGATGTACTCAAACTGAGCCATGATCCCTGGTATGCGATAAATAGGACCAACACCATAGTACGAGAAACATCCCCATATCATGATGCTTGCACCACCATGCTTCACCGTCTTCACTGTGTACTGTGGCTTGAAGTCAGTGTTTGCAGGACGTCTGACAAACTGTCTGTGGCCCTTAGACCCAAAAAGAACAATCTTACTCTCATCAGTCCACAAAATATTACACCATTTCTTTTTAGGCCAGTCAATGTGTTCTTTGGCAAATTGTAACCGCTTCAGCACATGTATGTTTTTTAACAATAGGACTTTGCGGGGGCTTCTTGCTGGTAGCTTGGCTTCACATAGACGTCGTCTGATTGTTACAGTACTCACAGGCAATCTTAGATCTTCTTCGATCCTCCTGGAGCTGATCATTGGCTGAGCCTTTGCCATTTTGGTTATTCTCCGATCCATTCGAATAGTCGTTTTTCTTTTTCTTCCTCGCCTTTCTGGTTTTGGCTGCCATTTTAAAGCGTCTGATATCATTTTAGCTGAACAGCCTATCATTTTCTGCACTTCTTTATAGTTTTTCCCCTCTTTTATTAATTTCAAAGAACGCTCTTCTTCTGAACAGTGTCTTGAACGACCCATTTTACTCTGTTTTTCAAGGACAAATGCACAGCCAGCATATGCAGCGTCAGTTGCCTTGATCCTTGAATAAGGGCCACCTGTTTAACACCTATTTTTTTCACATAATCAATGACCTCACTAATTGAACTCGGCACTGCTATTTTTTTGAACACGCCCCTTTCAGTAAATGATTCAGTTTCACAGAATCAGCAGCATGCACGTCATGCCTGTTGGGTCTGTTGGTTTTCTATACCTTTACTAAACCTTCTAGAAACTTACTTGCAGTGTAGAAGTTGAAATTCTAACAAAAACAGTGATTTATGTTGCTAGTGATATGGGACTGCTATTATTTTGAACACAACTGTATGTCTCACATCACCTTATTTTGACAGACGAATCTTGACATGACCTCACATTATTTACTTTATATTTCTTTTATCTCTTTTGTTTCTAATGTACTCATAAACCTAATTTATGTTGGCCAACATTCATAGGTTGGTTTGGGTGCAAATACAACAATATTTTCCCATTAGTAACTCACTAAATTTCATTCAGTTTAGTTTCCATGATCCAATTCTAATTAATAAAATACTTCTTTGTGCATCTTTTCCTTCAGTCACGTCTAATTCTTCACAGAGAGGGCAAAACAACGAGCAAACCTTCATAAGTCAATAAAGAAATAAAATTTTGTTCACCTGTTCACAGACTCCGCTGCTGTTTCGTGACTTGGATAGCCAAGGTACCCAAAGTGTGCCAAAGGGGTTTTTTACCTCTTGAAAGGAAATCTGGCTACAAAATACTAATGATTTCCACTACAGGAGGCTATGTGCACACAATACAACCCTTAGCCACTTCGTTTACCCTGTGCATCATCAGATTCTATTCTATTCAATTATGTATTGCACCGTTCTGTGGGACTGTAGTGGGTCCATCAGGCTTAAGAGGTGAAAGGTCTGCTTTTTACAGACTACAAGATACTCTCCAGAGATTTATCGAGCAGACTCAAGGAAGTCCTTGGAAGTATCATACACACTATTGTTTTTTGGACAGGACAATTATGGACAATATTTTTCTCATTAGAGATGTCATTGATGTGTGTAAATGTTATAATGTAAATTCTGGTATTATGTTGGGCTGGGCGATAAAACGATAGCAATAATTTTCGCGAAATTATTTTCCTCGATAGAAACAAAAAATGTTCAATAAATGTTCGATATAGTTAATGCTTATTGCACACCCACAAATGAATCATGAACGGCCAATCATGTCGCAGGAATAGAGGTTTGCATTGCACAAATTAGGATGCCTGTGAGAGGTATAAATACCAGACAGCTTGTGACATTATTTACAGACACACGCAGTGGCCGACGGGCTTGAAGTTGGAGCAGAGTAAACAAATTAGGTGAAATAAGTGACACCACAGAAAAAGCAGAACGCAGCTCAGAGGACAAAGATATCGTCCACAAGAGAGGCCACTCAACTTAAGTAGTTTGGAGATATTTTGGTTATTTACAGTCCGACAAAAAACAGAGCAATGCGCACTGCAAACTGCCAGAGACATGTTCGAGTTTCAGGATGTTGGAAAGAAGGAGCTTTATCAGACCTGTGTCAAAGTCCTTAATCTCGGGGGTTGGGGAGTCGAGGTGGACTGAGTACTTTGGCCAACACTTTTCCCCAAAAGGCAACTGGCGGTCCCTGTACAGGCAGACTGTTGGAAAATGGACAGCAGACTTCCAGTGGAGGATTGTACATTGGGCAATAGCTCTGAACAGATAGAGGAACGCACATTGATCCTGGGGTGAGGGAGGAGTGTTTGTTTTGTTCACAGACTGAAACCCTTGCACATTTGTTTGTTGAGTGTCCCAGGCTGGCATCATTGTTTAAAGTTCTAAAAAGGTTGTTTCAGGGTCTTGGGGAGACTTTCGGTCTTTCTGGAAGTATCTGGCAAAGAAAAAATCTGTTTGGACCTTGTTGAACTTTTTATCTGGCTCTCCCAAGTTGGCTGTCTGGCTGACGTGCAGGAACAAGGCCCAGAATTCTGGTAGTGTGGAGCCGGTGTTGGTTCTTTAGGGACGACTAAGGTCGGAATATGCCTTCTATAAAATAATAAGCAGGACTTCAATCGTGCGTGGGCTCTAGGGGGGGTTTTGTGTTCTGTCCGAGAGGATGGGGAGCTAATTGTTGATTTTTGATCTGAGGAAAGTGTCCATGTGGTTGTTGTTTTGTTGTTTTTTTTGTTCCTGTTTTTGCTCTAATATGACAGTGATGTAGTTTCTCCTTGCAGTGGTATAATAAAGGGCATTTGAAAACCAAACCCTCTCACCTCTCCTCTCTCCTCTCCTCTCTCCTGCAGTTGCTTTGAAGATGATGAACCTCCATGTGTTGAGGAGATTGAATACTCCATAGACTGTCCCCCACTCAAAGGCACTGATCTAGATTCAGATGTCAATAGCAATATGGCCAGCACTGATGAAGAGGAGTATGGCGAAAAAGGGCACAGGGGAGGTAAACAGCGGCGAAGCAGCGTCGGCCAGTTGCAGCAGTCGAGTCTGAAGAGTTGTCTGTTCCCTCAGCTGATTGGACCGGCGTCCATCGAGACACTGAATGAGAAGAAACACATGTGTAACAGTGGGAGCATCTCCAACAGACACTTGACAAGTTAAAGTATGTTGATTTGATAGTAGAGATAGAGATAGACGCCATCCTCCATGACACACAGCAGCCTGCTGTCTCCTCAGGTTCAGTCTGTTCTACAACATCATTTCTTCACAGCACAGGAAGAGATGAGATTTCACACACAAACACAGAGATGAATGACCAACAGGAAAAAAATGAGTCCATGAATCATTAACTTCATTAGTGTTCAACATAAAATTAATTCTTTAACTGAAGGTCCACTTACTGACTGAGCTTTTCAACTGCATCTAATGGTCTTCATCAGTGAATGGAAGGGGCTTTGGTTCGTGAATCTTTAGTCATGTGATGACAGGTGGAAGTGCACAGATGGGGATGTAATGTAATGAGATCAGAGCATGGAGTGATGGAGACAAAGTCCACCACTCCATCACTGGAGTCACAGTACCGATCCTCCTGGTCAAATAGGACTCCAATACAAGTGACAGTTGTCCAGTCACATTTTTACTTGAGTTAAAGTTCTGAAATAGTTGATTTTAAAAATACTGAAGTATTCAAAACCACGTTTTTATGTCAACTCATATTGATCCACATTTACAGAAGCTGATGACTCTGAAACAGCCTACTGAATACAAGGAGTTACTTGCAGAACCTGTAGAATAAAAAACTTTTAGAATATGCTACAAAGCCTATAGGAATGGCCATAAAAAACACAATTTGAATCAACAATCAATAAATGGCTGTTTTCATATTTGTTTTTTTGTTTTGTTGGTCTTGGTAAACACAGCAAACATTTCAAACTAAATTAATATTTTTTTTTATCTTTATCTAACGTTGCCATCATTAGGACACTGACAGGTTGACGCATGACTGACAGTGGAGGAGTTGGCTGTGATTTGTATTTCTCCTGTGATGAACACAGTGTATGTCTATGACATTTTCAAAGTAAAAGAAAATTCATTCACTGACTAAATGCTCTGCTTCAAAGTAAGTGAGTCCTTCATAGAAATGTAGTGGAGTCAAAAGTACAATATTTGTCTTTACGTGTAGTGGAGTAAAAGTCAGAAGTTTACAAAAAAGAAATACTCACGTGAATGATGAAGACTGCGACATGTGGTTAAATTAAAAAAACAAGTCCAGTAAGTGGACCTGAAGTTCAGATTTGCTGCTATCTGAAGCTAAAGAGTAAACTCTCTCATTCACAAGACTGTGGATCTTTTGGAGAGCAAAGTATTTCTGTCATGACCTATGACCTCCTACAGACAAACACTGTAACATCACGCATGTTTTACAGGCAATTATCTCAGTCAGACCTGAACTCATGAAGTGTGGAGAGCTAACAATGCCAAAACTGTCTGCCTTATAAGAGCGTATCTGCAGCTGGTGACATCAAAACTCAAACCGAAGACTGACTGCGGTCTGTTTCTGTTTATTTTAGTCAGAAGAAATTGAATGAAATTCAGATGACTTGATTTATTGATTTATTGATTGATTGATTGATTGATTGATTGATTGATTGATTGATTGATTGATTGATTATTGCTGCTGTGTAAAAACCTGTAAATCCACAGGAGTGTTGGAGACTTGAAAAAAACAAACTGATATTATGTTTCTGGTCAGTGTCACAGCAGGAGGTGGGATGGATCCCTCAGGGCAGTGTATGAGCAAGTGCTGAATGGACATACAAAAACATTTATGTGCAACCTTGACCACAGTCTTCTCTGTTAGGAAAATGTTTTAGAGCCTAAACTTAAACTTAACCAGATTCAGTCAGAGGCGGAAAATCAACCTACTCTACTCTACCATTTAACTGCTTCATCAGAGCCAGAGGCAGAGTACAACTGTCACCAATATCAACTCCCGCATTGCTCAGGGTGTAATCCTCTACACACCACCTTCACATACACAGCAATATTTTCTCCCTAGTCAAATGTTCCCTTATGCGTTAGAAACTCAACACACCCTTTAAATACCTGTGATGTTACAGTGTACAGTACAATGATGAACTGGGTCCTGAGGATAGGAAGTCAGTCAGTATCTGTTGTTGTTGGTAATTGTTTTTCTTGACCCATTGTCATTAACAGGCCAAAACATGTATGTGAGAAAAACAAAGTACAGTACAAATTCAGGATCATGCTCCATGAGGGATAAATATAACCAATCATCACCAGTAGCAGGACAGTCCATCTGTATTCTTGTTATATTATGAATTAGTGCTTTTGTTCCACAGCAAATCTGTTGCTAAGGAAACAAAACTCCATTGTTTCATTCCCAGTATAACATTTAACATTAATATTTGATTTTAAAAAAAGTATAATATAAATGATAATAATTCTGAAAATAATAAGTTTAAGGGATATTCTCAGATCTTTCAGATCATTTTCTTACATTAAAAATTTGAACAAAAAATTAGTTTTAGACTACTCCCTTATAAACACCATGACTTGAATAAGACTTTCAGACCAACAACAACAATAATGAATGTTAATGTGCTTGTAGTTGTATTCAGTGGCAGTCTTCAGACTGCAACCAGGCTGCTTTTACTGCTGTTACTGCTGTGGTGGCTGGTCAGGCTGCTGGGGGACCTGGCAACCCGGTCCTGGGGCTAAACATGGAGATAGTGTGTGAGACAGTGTGAAGAGGTCTGCTTAAGTGTATCTCAGACCATATGAAAGCTTATACTGCACTTAGCTGAAGAATGTAAACCGTCCAGGCTTTTTATCAAGCATAAGATGAAATGCATCAAGGTAATGACCGCAGTAGAGGAATATAATCAATCCCCAAGTAAAGTAAAACTTTATTGATATCACACCTCTTTAAACACAGGTTACTAAGTGCTGTACATCAATTTCAACACAAAAGCATAAAAAACAAACAAAAGAAATACCAAGAGAGAAACATTCAAAATACATACAAACACAACACACATATGAACACACAGCAACCAGTCATCACCCAGAGGAACCACTGAAATGACAAAGGCCGACTGAAAGAAGAGGTATCATGGTATCATGTACTGTATCTCTAAACAAAGAGCAAAGGAAATATTTAAGATGAACAGAGAGCATTAGAAAACTTGACCAGCACCGAGCTCACTGAAGCTGAGCTCAGGTTTTACAGCCAAATGATACCCAGGTAAACAAACAGGTATGCTATAGAAAACCATGGGAACCTGTTTACAGGCTGCACCAGGGGAAGTTCACAATGATGGAAGATAAAGAAATGAGGAGGCTACATGTGCATGATTTATATGTCTGATCTAGTCTAGGATGATGTTTAGTGTGAAAGGTTTGTGTAACAGGTGTGTTATGATCTAGATTTCATTTTTAGACCTGTAATTTGCAGTGACACATGTAAGACGTAAAGCATGTAGAATGAATATGTTTGTATTTTGGATCAGTTGAGAAGTTTGTTTTGAGACAAGTAAAACATTGAAAAAAAATGTCATGTTTTATTCATTTTATTTTCACTGATTGGAAACTTTCACCACAGTGTTCATGTGAGCAGTGTTCAGCTATTAATGTGAACACAATATACTGACAAAACATGCTAAAACAAAAACTGACTCACATAAATGGGATTTTGGATCATCAAGTTCATCATTAGTTGTTGGTTCTGTCCTGTACGATGGCCCTGAGTGCTCAACGCACTGCAACTTAAGAAAACACATGCAAAACATAACACGCTGCAAATTCAGAAAACATCTCCATCAATTTGAGAACATATGCACTGCAAAAAAAAAAAATCACAACCAGGGGGACCCGAAGGCGTAAGCCTTACCACAGCGGCCATGGTTCAAGTCTAGCCCGTGGCCCTGTGTGCGCTATGTCATCCTCTCTCTCTCTCTCTCTCTCTCTCCCTCTCTATCATAATCAAGGCAAAAATAACTTACAAAGAAAAAAAGTGATGAACCTGTCTGGGACGCAAATGTTATCCAGTGCTTAAAGTTACAATTGGGCACTGAACAGCATGTAAAAAGCTGCTGAGTTAGTGAAAGTCGCTAAAAGGAGCAGAGAATGCTGGAGCAGAACTAGTGTAAGTTTACTGTTTTGTGTGTGTGTGTGTGTGTGTGTGTGTGTGTGTGTGTGTGTGTGTGTGTGTGAGTCTGTGTTTGTAACCCTCATAGACATCAATCAGGCTGTTGACGAGCATCACCTGTGTGCAGCTCGAAGACAGAGCTCAGATGAACATGTCACATGAACACACTCACATACATGCTCTCATACTTGAGAGTAATAAGGGTAAGAGTTAATGAGTGTAATTAGCCAATAAGAATCAGCCTTATTCATTTCTGCCCCAATGTTGTTTGTGTGTTCGTGTGTTTGCATGTGTGTGTATGTATGTATGTCTGTGTGGCTGTGTTTGTAAACATCACATAGATCAAAGAGCCTCTTAACGAGCTGGTTCCAACATCTGTGTCTAACTGCAAGACACAGAGCTGACTCAGATGTGGGTGTGATTTTGGCTCGGCGAGCCTCTCAAATGTCTGCTATTTGTGAAAAAATGATCACTCCCATAAGAACCATGAGCGGACCATGGCCGGAACAAGATCTTTGTGCACTGCATGTCTGGCTTTGGTGTTTTTCTAGAGCCAAAAATGTGGACACAGAAGTGAGTTACAGAAAAATGTCACTTCAGCGTTTTTGGGGAAATCAGCTCCTGCAGTCGATGGAAGAGGTGGAGGATACTCCCATCGCTTTGCAGTTCATGTTCAAATTCTGAAAGACTCTGTGCTTAGGTAAACACATTCTATGAAACAGGACAAATTTCTCTACTATCGAGGAAGCCGTGATTTGTGACGATTGAAATAAGTTGAGTTCTAGAGCTTCTCCCACCATAGCGATGATGTCATCCACTCTAGCTATGAACATTCTGTGCAATACACATCCATTATTAAGTCTGAAACAGTCTAAAAATGACACAAAATGTAAACTGTGATTTTGTGTAAACCATAATAGTTGTCAAAATACCAATTTAATCCAAAAGAGTCAAGTCTTGTAACCCATTTAACATTTCAAAGATTTTTCTA